AGGTCCAAGTCCATATGGTTAGGCAGATAACTCATTTTCATGAAGAATAGATTTTTCCCCCTGGGACCTGTGTGGTGGAAGGAGAGAGCCATCAACTCCTGAAAGTTTACGTGTGACCACCACATGAAAGTCATAGTGTACAGGCAGTCACCATCATATACACACAAATAAATACATGAAGTGGAAGAAGTTTTAGGTAAATGTGCCAAGTGAAAACGCTCAGTTTTGGAATGGCAGAACATGCATGGTACACAATTATCTAAAATTGATTCTAGATTACTCTGCTGGTGACAAGATCTCTCTGTATAGCTCAGGTTGGCCTCAGACTCGAGGCTGTTGATGGTATTCTGAGATGGGCCGCTGTGGTAATCTATTTTAAGGCTGCTTTAGACTCACAGCAGACCCTTGCTGCCTCTGAGCAGGACCTCAAACTGTTTAACAAACCCTGGCTGCTGCAACCTAGTGCCTTTTGAAAGTTCCCCTTTTTAAGAAACAACTTCAAGCCATCAGAAACCCCCTCATGACACAAACCCCCTGCCATACACAGAGTCTCAATAAGAGACTAACTCAGATGTTAAGTTTGGTTGCAAATGCTTCTTTTCCATCTTAGCCATCTTGCCAGCCTAAGGCTTCTTGTTTATTCCTATGTTTAGAGAGGAGGTCTTTCTGCCTCTGAATTCCTGGGCTGAAGTGGTCTTCCTGCACTTTAAGTACCACTGTGCTCACTTTAAGTGAGGGGACAGTAAAGAAACCCCAGAGAGTGGCTACTCCACGCTTAGGGGTAAGGGCATCTGGAAGAGTCCAGAGCTGAGAGAAAAAGAAGCAGATTGGACATGACCAGGGCTAGGGAATCAAGCATCGCAAAATCCTGGGATGTATAAGGAGATGAGTAGGAGGTAGGAAGGGCCAAGATGTTAGCATAGTCTCTGAGATGTGTAACAAGTTTAAACAAGGATTTAGGGAGCCTGGAGGGCAGCATGGGCTTTGATATACAACCACAGGAGTATGTCAATGAGACTCACAAGTCCCTTCTGCTACAGGCAAGGGAAATATCCCCTTTTGGCAGATGGGAACTTGTTTCACAAATTCCTGAGGAATTATGACTTTGTATCTAACTGACAAGAAATCCTATAGTCTAGCCTGGTGAAGCCAAGACTGCCTTTTCTGACACTCACCACTTTATTTTAAAAGTAAATTAAGTCAGTTGCCTGGTGGGTGTCGCACACTTTTAAACCCAGCACTCAGAAAGCAGAGACAGGCTGATCTCTCAGAGTTCAAGGCCAGCCTGTTTTACAGAGTGAGTTCCAGAACAACCAGAGCAGTTTCATGGATAAACCCTGTCTTGAGGGGAAAATGCAAAAACAAGCAAACAAACAAAAAAAAAAAGAAAGAAAGAAAACTAAGTTAGGGTGGTATCCTTATATCTGTAATTCCAGCATTTGGGAGGCAGAGGCAGGAGAACCAACAGTTCACAGTCATTCTCATCTACATAGCAAGTACAAGGCCAGCCTGGGCTTCAGGGGACCTACCCTAAATAAATAAATAGCCAGGCATGGTGTTGTTCACCTGTAATCTCAACATTGAGGGGTTGAAGCTGTAGGATCTTAACAAACTCTAAATAAACCAATAGAATGGCATGTTGGCACAGTGGCACATACTGATCCTGGCACTTAGAAGGCTGAAGTAAGAAGATGGTGAGTTCCGGCATCTGAGCTACATAAAGTTAAATGGAATTGCAGATGTGATAAGTCTTCCCTTTGTGTAGCTTCCTCCTCCCCAGCGTTAAGGCCTATAAACAACTGGTTGGATAGTCATTTGCTCATTCATCAAGGAGCAAGCTGAGTCTTGTCTGATAAGGAGGTGGTGGTACCTTTGCAGAGATAACCTCTGGGAAGTAAATGCTTTTTTTTGTTTTGTTTTTTGTACAGCCCTTTTGGTATCCATGAAGATTGGTTCTGGGACCCCTCTCAAATACCAAATATATGGATGCTAAAGTCCTTTACATGTAATAGCAAAGTATTTACACATAATCTACATCCTTCCCTCCCTTCTACATGTCTTCAGGGACCTCTACATTACTTTTTTTTTTTTAGATTTATTTATTATGTATATGGTGTTCTGCCTGCATGTATGCCTGCAGGCCAGAAGAGGGCACCAGATCTCATTACAGATGGTTGTGAGCCACCATGTGGCTGCTGGGAATTGAACTCAGCTCTGGAACAGCAGCCAGTGCTCTTAACCTCTGAGCCATCTCTCCAGCCCCCCCCCATATTACATTTAATGCCAATTACAATGTAAGTGCTAAGTAAGCAGTTTTTGTGTTATATTGTTTAGAGAACAATGCCTTGAAAAAGTCTACATAATCCAGGTACAGTGACTGAAATGTACATTATATCGGTAAGTTGTCATGTGTTACTTAAACTTATGGAAAGGGGACTTTAAAGAGGCCATCCTCTCAGGGTACAGCATCTTTATTTCAACTGTTCTCCCAAATACTCTTCTTCAGCAGGCTGGCCCCCTAACTCTGAAAGGGAGGGAGGTCATCAGTAAAACAACTGAATTAAAACCTCACGTCCTTTGAGAACATTTGGAAGGTAAATAATTTCCAACAAAGGTTACTGTTGTTTCTCCCATCATATAAAAACACCTGCAGTAGGACCTGGAATATGTAAATTCAGCTATGTGTTCCATAGGCAATTCATCTATGGAGAGAAATCTTAACTGGGAATTCCAGCTGACTGCCTCAGCTTCCCCAGTCAGTTCCTGCTGGATGTTTGTAAGCCACCATTTACTGTCTCAGTCTTGTTATCTCGGTTGTCCCTTGCTGGATGTTGAAAACTATGTATTCAATGATATTTTAACATCTGTTTGCTATTCCTTTCTATTTGCTATATATTTAATAAATTCACTCATTCTAAGCTGACAGCACTGCTAGCACAGGCATTCTCCAGACAGTATAGAACAGGAATATACTCTTATAGTCCTAACACTTGGGAAAGTAGAGGCAGCCATTTTCAAAGTTCCATGCCAGCCTGGTTTACATAGTAAGACTGGGCCGGGCCGTGGTGGCACACGCCTTTAATTCCAGCACAGCACTCGGGAGGCAGAGGCAGGTGGATCTCTGTGAGTTCAAGTACAGCCTGGTCTACAGAGTGCCAGGATAGGCTCCAAAGCTACAGGGAAACACTGTCTCAAAAAACAAAACAAAACAAACTAAATAGTAAGACTGTCTCAAAAAAGTGTTTTGTTTAAATCCAAGAGCATACTAAACCTGCAAGTATTAACCAACTCATAGTTTCCTAAACCCAGTCTTATCTTTGTTCTTGTAGAGAAACTATTTAAAACAAATTTTCAAATGAATTTTAAGAAACAAGTCCATTCTTGTGTAGCCGTATTTGTTTGCATCTGTGAAAACTGCTGGCCTACATTCCTGTCAGGTTACTCACAAATGATGGATCTGCATACTGACTGCTTTCACCAATTCCCAAGCTCGTGGACAGAAGCAAGTCAGCAAAACACACAAACCCATTTCCGCTAACGACAAGGTCTCAGGTAGTCTAGGCTGCCCTAAACCTGGTATGCAACTGCAGATGATCTTGAACTTTTGGCCCTCCTGCCCTCTTCTAAGTGCTGTTCCTCCTAAAGATCCAGGTTTAATTCTCCGAACCCACATGGCAGCTCACATTGACAAATCCAGATCTAGGTTATCTAACGCCATCTTCTGACCTCTTCTGAAACGAGGCACCCATGCTAGTATATATCTGTGTTTCCAGCACTTAGGAGATGGCAGCAGGATGAGATTCAAAGTCATCCTAGGCTACAGAACAAGTTTGAGGTCAGTATAGGGCACAGTCCCAGAAAACCTACGACAAAAGCATACAACTAAATGGAATTCAGTATATTTGTAATTGTGCCATCATTATTATGGTGATTTTTTTTTTCTTTTGAGACAGGGCTTCTCTGTGTAGTCCCGGCTGTCCTGGCACCTGCTATGTAGACCAGGCTGGCCTTGAACTCACAGAGATAAGTCTGCATCTGCCTTCAGAGTGCTAGGATTACAGGCATGTGCCACCACTGCCCTGGCTCATTTTTTTATTTTTAAAGATCAGATTACACTATGTAGTCTTGACTGCTTGGAAATAGCTTTGGAGACCCCATCAGCCTCTAATTTATGGCAATTCTCCTGCCTGGGATTACAGGCCTGTGCAAGCAGCTGGGCACAAAGACCACTTCTGATCTGATCTAACTCCTAACCTTGCGTGTTGTCTTTGTTACTTCGTCTCAAGAACATAGCCTGAAACACGAGCTGGCAAAAGCAGGATGGTCGTCTTTTAGCCTAGATATCTTAATCTTTTCACATTGAGACACAGTTGCCATCTACAAAGTTCATACTCTGACAATTAGACAATCAGGTTACAAATACCCACTTGTCTTTTGAGTAAATCTATTATGATTTTCGGTGGGACGCATTCACAGCTTATCTTAGGCCACAGGTTGGACATGCTACATGCTTTCATGAAGTCCGGAAAACAAGCATTCATTAGCACGAATTCATTAGTCCTGTCTTTAAGGTGCTTTACCAACTTTCAAGACAACCTCCAGGCAGGTGGCTGAGACTCCGAACCCGGCAGCGCTTGCGACTGCTGTATTGACAGTCAACCCGCGGGATTGAGCACTCCCGGAAAGCACAGGTCTGCAGAACTGAGCATCTGCGATGCCACCCGCCTCTCGTTCCACACAGGGCTGAGCTGGCGGGAGGTGTCTACCTCATTTTAGCGCTACTCGGCACCGGGAATGACTTAGCGAGGGCATTTCTGAAGTCCAGGAATCTAGAATTTGAGTGGCTCCTGAAAAGAGAGACGAAGGACAGCTCCGTACACAGGTCACGCCTGCGCGGACTGACCAGCGGGCATCAGCGACACGGCTTCCGCTCCAGCTGACCGAGCCTGGGACTTCCGGCTCGGCTCGGCTCCGCGCCCCAGCCCCGCCCCCACGCCGGCCGTGACGGAAGCGCGCAGGGGTGACCTCACCGTCCAACATGGCGGCGGCGGTAGATTAGGGCCGCGGTTCGAAGCAGCCACTGCCGCTCCCGGACTCTGTGGGAAGCACCTGCTGCCGCCGCCGTCTCCTTCATCCCTTCTGGGGTAGGGCTGGGGCCAGGTGAGGGGAGTGGGATTCCGGGGAGGTCCTGCTGGGTGGCGACCCAGTTGAGGAAGGGGTCTGGAGACCACCGAGCCGACCGCCCGGTGCTGCCCAGGACGCGGGAGAGACCAGGCGGGAGGGAGGGAGGACCGTGCTGCTCTGCCGAGGCTTCTCGGGGCTTACAGGGACTATTCGGGGCCAATGGACCTGTCCAGCGTGCCCCCAGGATGGGCGGCTTTTGAACGGGCTGTGTGGCTGCCTGCGGCGCCAGGGACTCACCCTTGCTCTACATTCTGTTCTTCACCCAGATCTTTGCTTGGAGAACCGGGGTCTGTTTGGGGGGCTGGACTGGGAGACGTGAATTCGTTCTTGGAGGAGGGAAGTGTGTGCCATTCACTTAGAACGATTATAGATTGGCTTTACTAGGACTTTCTTGCCACAGTGTTACAAGTCTTGTTTCTCAGGGTTAGCGCTGCAGTTTTGACACCCATTTCCACTCCACCCCCACCCCAGGACAAGACAACCAATGGGCTTTCTTACCCTGTGGAGGCGAGAGATACCATTCACACTAATTCTTCTTTACCTCTTGAAAAATCCTCCTCCCCATATTCCCACGGGGTCCCACATTTCTTGCCTTTGCATTATAGCACCGAAAAGGAGGAAGCCTGGACTTCTTAAGTCGGGGCTTTTACTTTAAGGGATAAAAATGGGACGAATCTGCCCAGAAATTCATATGCTCTTTGCTGGTAGCTTTGTTAAGGAATTCACCATACCCATGAACAAGTGTTTGTCTGAAAGATGTTTTTACTCTCTGTCTCTCTGTGTTTAAAAGTTTTGAACTGTGATGTCAGGCCCCTCTTCTTTCTGATGTAAAAAAAAAAAACCGCTTTGCAAAATATCTAATATTTCTCTTGGAGACTTGGTATAAACCAGAATGTTGACGGTCTCTGCCCTAACTTGTGTGACCTTACATGAATTGCCACACCCTTGAGATGCCTTCCCTCCCCCCCTTTTTTTTAACACACGAGAAAGTTAAGCAAGTGTGTGGGTAGGGAACCACTTTTATTTCACACATTCAGTTGGAATACTGTATCCTGCATGTTTATAACAGTGAATTGAAAATACTTAAACCATTGTTCAGTATATAATAGGCAGATGAGGACTTCGAAAGTTCTGCTCTGAATGACCAGGTACGATTCTAACTATTCTAAATATTTTTTCAAGACGCCTCATAGTCCTTAAAATAACATTTATTTTGTTTTGTTTTTTGATCTCATGTATCCGAGCTGGCCTTAAACTCAAATCCTCCTCCTCCTCCCTCCCTTGTATTGAAATCCAGGAGTATGTAACCATGCCTATCCCTATAAAAAAATTGAATTACATTATATAGGTATATATTTGAGTACACATGTGCATAGGGCAGTGGGTAACTTTTTTTTTTTTTTGGAGGGGTGCAAGGAGATTTTCTATATAGTCCTGGTTTTCCTGGCACTTCCTGTATAGACCAGGATGGCCTCAAAGTCACAGACACCTGCCTGTCTGTACCTTTCAAGGCCTGTGCTACCATTCACAACCACTGGGCAACTTTGGTAGTTCTTTTTCTTTTTCCATCTTTACATAGGTTCTGGAGATTAAACTCAAGTTGCTTTTAACGCTGACTCATTTCATCAGTCCTTGTTCTGTTTTGAGACTGTTTCAGCCTGTGGTCCAGGCTAGCCTTGAATTTTTAGTAGTCCTCCTAAATCAGCCTCCCTAGTGCTGGGATTCCAGGGGGTCTGCCACACCTATCTTAAATGGCCTGTATCTTGTGCACAAGTGTGCCCTGAAAATTGAATTCAGCCAAATATTGTGTTAGGTTAACTCCAGCCATTTTTTTTTTACTTTTTGAGACGGGGTTTCTCTGTATTGTTTTGGAGGCTGTCCTGGAACTCACACTGTAGACCAGGGTGACCTCAAACTCAGATTCTGCCTTCTGAGTGCTGGGATTAAAGGTGTATACCACCACCATCCGGCAAATGTAACCATCTCTTAAAAAGTTTACTGTTTGACAGATTTGTACAAGTATGTAGTATATTGTTGTCATTCCCATCCCTCACCCTGTTAACCTCTCATTCTTTTACTGCTCTCACTAAACACCTTCTTCATCTTATAAAAGGAGGAAAGCATGTCAAGGGCGCTCCTGGAAATGTAAATACAGGGGAGGCTAGGTGAGATTGCTGGGAGACCATCCTGGGCTAAAAGTTAGACTCTGTCTTAAAAAACAAACAGGGCTAGAGAGACGGTTCAGTGGTTTAGAACACGTACTGATCTTCCTGAGGACCTGAGTTGATTCCCAGCACCCACATCAGGCAGCTCATAACTGCCTGTAACCCAGCTCTAGGGGAATCTGGAATCTCTGACCTTTGTGGGCATTTGTATTCATGTGCACACATTCCCCCCCATGCATATAATTAAAATAATACAAAGTTAAAAAAGGAGCCGGGCGGTGGTGGCGCACGCCTTTAATCCCAGCACTCGGGAGGCAGAGGCAGGCGGAGGATCTCTGTGAGTTCGAGGTCGGGCTGGACTGATAGCCTCCAAAACAATACGGAGAAACCCTGTCTCGTAAAAACCAAAAAAAAAAAAAAAAAAGATTTTAAAAAAGGAAACTCTATCTTTAACCTTTGACACAGTTTTAAATTTTTTCTTCCTTTTTTTGTGTGTGTGACAGGGTTTTATGTATCACAAGCTGATGTAGGGTAAGAAGACACTAGCGGGAGTCAGTTCTCTGCTCCCACCATGTAGGTTCTAGGAATTGGTCAGACTTGGCAGCAGGTAGCTTTATTTACCATGGAGTCATCTTGCCACACTATCAAATATTTTTTGCACTTTTTCTCATGAAATATTTTAGGCATAAATCGTAAACATTTGTATTTTCATTGCTTTTTTTTCATTTGAGTCATATCCCATATAAATTATCACCAAGATTTAAAAACATTTTTTATTAGATGTATTTATTTTATTCTATGTGAGTGTTTTGCCTGTGTGTATGTATACTCTGTGTGTCCAGCAGAGGTCAGAACAGGGAACTTTAGGGATGGCTGTGAGCCTCCGTGTTGGTGCTGGGAACCAAACCTAGGTCCTCTGCAAGAGCAGCAGATGCTCTTAACCCCTGAGCCTTCTCTTCAGCCCCAACACCAATAATTTTTTAGACAGAGTGTCCCTTTGTAGTCCTTGCCTGGTCTTGAACTGTGATCTGCCTGTCTCAGCCTCCCAAGTGGCTAGAATTACAGACCTGTACCACCAAAATCTGGGTCAAGGGTAATATTTTTGGGAGTTGGGTTTTTATGTTAGGCATCAAACTACTGTCCTTTGCAGCTGAGATCGCACTGAGACACACTTCAGCCCCTTTTATTGTTACTTCTTGTTTTTGTGGTGCTGGGCATAGAATACAGGTCTCCAGGCTTTTATTTGCTCTACTACTGAGCTACACACCTAACCCAATAGTAACCGATATTTTTGTGTTGTTTTTATGAGATAGCATCTCACATTGTATGTAGCTCAGGCTGGTCTGGAATTCACTGTGAGGCTCAGTCTGGCCTCAAATTGATGGCAATATTGCTTAGCCTTCTGAGCTAGGATTACAGTTGTGTTCCACTATGACTGACTGAGAGCAGTTCATTGTCTGGTAGCTTCACTGAGATATAATTTACTGTACTATTCACAGTTGTGTAATATAATGACTTTTAGCACATTCAGAGTTGTGCAACTATTATTGGAGTTTTCATCACTTCTAAAAAAAAAACCCCATACCACTTGGCAATGAATCTTCTGTTATTTTTTGAGACAAATCTCCATGTGGCCCAGGTTTGAACTTTCGATACATTTGCCACCGCTTCATTGCTGGGATTATAGGTGTATGCTACCATGCTTGGTGGTAGCCATTCTTTATTCCTACTCCTCTCTTTACCACATACAACCAATGATTTTTCTTTTCTGCTTTTTTAAAAAAGATTTGTTTATTTATTATATATACAGTGTTCTGTCTGCATGTATCCCTGCAGGCCAGAGGAGGGCACCAGATCCCATTACAGATGGTTGTGACCCACCATGTGGTTGCTGGGAATTGAACTCAGGACCTCTGGAACAGCAGCTAGTGCTCTTAGCTCTGAGCCATCTCTCCAGCCCTTCTTTTCTGCTTTTTAAGGCCGGCTCTCATTTTGTACTAACCCTGGCCTTGAACTCTTAGCAGTCCTCTTGCCTCAGCCTCCCAAGTACTGAGATTACAAGTGTGAGCCATTACTTTATTCCTTTTTTAAAAATTATTTATTTACTTTTATTTTATACGTGTTGATGTTTTGCCTGCTTTCATGTCTATGTGAGGGTGTCAAATCCCCTGGAACTACACACAGGTGTGAGCTGCCTTTTGGGTGCTGGGAATTGAACCTGGGTTCTTCGGAAGAGTAGCCAGTGCTCTTAATCGCTGAGCCATCTCTCCAGCCCCCTACTTTATTCTTTTTTAAAGTTAAATGATATTCCAGTGTGTAGAATGTGGCAGTGTGAGGACATATGGCATTTCAGGGAACCTTTCTCTTCCTTCCTTTCTTTCTTTAACTTCCCTTTCATTTTTCACTCCTTCCTTTCCTACACCAGGGTTTTACTATGTAGCCCTGGCTGGCTTGGAACTCACAAAAACAGCCTGCTTTTGCCTTCTGAGTTTAAATGGTATGTACCACCATACCATTTGTTACTGTGCTTTTTTTTTTGTTTTGTTTTGTTTTTTGCTTTTTTGGCAGGGAAAAGATTTGAAAGGGAACCTTGATACGTAGATTACATTGACTTCCTATTTCCTTCTCCCCATGTGCTGCTAATATAGGCATGTCCTCCAATCCTAGCCAATATTTTCTATTTTTAGTCTTTTTTTTTCTTTTGTTTTGATTTTTCAAAACAGGATTTCTCTTTGTAGCCCTGGCTGTCCTGGGACTCCGTAGACTAGGTTGGCTTTGAACTCAGAGATCCACCTGCCTCTGTCTCCCCTGAATACTGGACAATGCTTTAAACTTTTATCAGGTGACCCTCATATTTCATCTTCTCCAAGTATCTAGCTAGCTAGGCGTAGAGGTTCATACCTCAGTATCTAGCTTATATGACTTTTTTTTTTTTTTTTTTTTTTTTTTTTTTGGTTTTTCGAGACAGGGTTTCTCTGTGGCTTTGGAGGCTGTCCTGGAACTAGCTCTTGTAGACCAGGTTGGCCTCGAACTCACAGAGATCCGCCTGCCTCTGCCTCCCAAGTGCTGGGATTAAAGGCGTGCGCCACCAACGCCCAGCGCTTATATGACTTATAATATTATTTTTAATTATATGTATCTGTGTGAGTGTGTATATCCACCTGAGGAGGCAGAGGTGTTGAATTTCCTGGGGTTGGCATTTGCACAGCGTTGCACGGTGAGCTGCCAGACACAGTGCTGGAACTTGAACTTAGATCCTCTGCAAAGTAGTACATGCTCTTAACCATTAAGTCACCTCTTCAGACACCCACACCCCTTATTTTTTTTTTCAATACTTTGTCAGTTTTCTCTCTAGTGTTTTTAGATAAGATCTCTTTATTTTATTTTATTTATTTATTATGTATACATTCTTCTGCATGTGTGCCAACAGAAGGCATCAGATCTCATTCAAGGTGGTTGTGAGCCACCATGTGGTTGCTGGGAATTGAACTCAGGACCTCTGGAAGAACAGTCGGTGCTCTTAACCTCTGAGCCATCTCTCCAGCCCCACACCCCTTATTTTTAAATAAATTGAAAGTTGTTTCCTGCCAGGTGGCAGTGGTGACATCACACATGCCTTTAATTCCAGCATCGGGAGGCAGAAGCAGTTGGATCTCTATGAATTTGAGGCCAGCCTGATTCTAAGAAATGAGTTCCCGGACAGCCAGGGCTACACAGACAAACCCTGTCTCAAAAAAACTAAAACCAAACGAAACCAAAACAAAAAAACCATTGTTTCCTTTATGGCTGTTACGTATAAAGTGACCTTGAACACTCAAGCACAAATTTTGGGTAGACATGTTTACATTTCTCTAGCATGTACCTAGAATGGAGCGATCTGAATTTTGTTTTGCTGTTACATGGGAAGCTTAAAATACTGTGAAAGTCAGAATCTGTGTGTAAGGGGGAGGGTTTCATATTAGGAATTCCCCCGTGAGTGCATTATCTGTGAATGCCAACTGCTGAGTGCAGATATTTGGGGCAGTTGTTAACAGAGGATTGAACCAGAGTGTTCCATTACGCATGTTTTAACTGGAAAGGGACAATCAACACTAGGATAATAGTGGTGTCTGCTACATTTTTAAATTGACACCTCACTGTAGCAATGCATCTGAGTGGAATAGTTTTGCAATCTTACAAATTTAATTTTGTGTGTATATGTGTGGGTGTATGGGTGTATGTAAGTATTTGTGCATGTGTGTACACATGCATATGGAGGCCAGAGCTCAACCTCAGGTGTTTTTCAGGAACATGTCTTTCATTTGTGTGTTCATGTGTATGTGTGTTTGTGGGTATACATTCATGTGGGTTCTGGGTATTCAAATCCTTAACACAGGTATTAGATGTGTTAAGACAATACCTTTACCTATCTCTCCAGCCTCTACTGATCCTAGAATTTGCATTTGTTTGAATTTAAGATCATATCTGGAAAATTTGAGTGTGGTAGCACAAGATTGTAATGCCAGATCTTGTGAGACAGAGGCAGGAGTGTTACTGCAAGTTCAAGACCAGCTTAGACAACATGACAAGTCCCAGATTTGTGACATTGCAGGACCCTGTGTCCAAAAAAAAAACACCCAAACAAGATCATACATGAGCTTGGGATTGAGTACCTGGCATATGTGAGGTTCTGTTTGATCCCCGAAACAACCTTCCACTACACTCAGGAAGCCATCTGTATATTTAAGCATTGATTTTTTTTTGTCTGTCTGGAGACAGGCTCTCTCTGTGTAGCTCTGGCTAGCCTGGAAGTTGCTATGTAGACCAAGCTGGCCTCGGAAAAAAAAAAAAGCTGCTTTTTTTTTTTTTGGTTTTTTGAGACAGGGTTTCTCTGTGGCTTTGAATGCTGTCCTGGAACTAGCTCTTGTAGACCAGGCTGGTCTCGAACTCACAGAGATCTGTCTGCGTCTGCCTCCCGAGTGCTGGGATCAAAGGCGTGTGCCACCATTGCCTGGCTAGCTTCTGCTTCTTTTGTACTGTGATTAAAAATGTGTGCTGCCAGTGTGACCATTAACAACTTGCTTTTTTAAAACAGGGTCTTATGTAACTAAGACTGACTTCAAACTCAATATATAGTTGAGAATGATCTTGAACTCTTAATTTTCCTTCCACTTCCTCCTGAGTCCTGGGGAATACTACACCACACATAGCTTAATCCTGGCACCTAGGAGGCAGAGGCAGGTGGATCTCTGTGAATTTGAGGATAGCCTGGGCTACAGAGTGAGTTCCAGGATAACCAGGACTATACAGAGAAACCCTGTCTTGAAAAATACAAAACAAAACAAACAAAACACCCCCTCTTCCAAAATAAAAGACTCACAAATTGCACATTACCTCAAAAAAAAATCAAAAACTAAATTTTAACTGGGCATTGTGACAGCTGTCTATAGTCCCAGTACTTGACTACATAGGGAGTTCTAGGCCAGCCTGGGCTACATAAGCTGTTGTCTTAAAAAAAAAAAAAACCAGTAACTAAATACACAAATTGCACATACAACTGCCCCTCTTACTCAGACTAGCTATATGGCACATCAAGTAGAACAGGGGGCTGGGAGGTGGAGTCTCTAGGTATGTAGCATGGGTCTAGGTAACATATTAAGAAGATTTATTTGATTTATTTTTTGGGACAGGATTTCCTGTGTGACAGTTCTGACTGTCCTGGAACTCATACTGTAGACCAGGCTGCTCTTGAGCTCCCTGCCTCCTGAGTGCTGGGATTAAAGGCCATGGCTATGAGATTTGTTAATAAAAGAAATGAGGAAACTCATACGGGGATGGGGTTCAGGATGTCTCCTATGTGTTTGCCACATGTGTGGAAATAACTAGGAAGTGCCAGTGAGATGACTCAGTAGTTAAAGTGCTTGCCATGCTGGCCTAGCAACCTGAGTTTCATTCCCAGAACATGTAAGGGTGGACGTAGAGTACTTCACTCCACAAAGTTGTCCTCTGACCTTCACATGTTCACTGTGGCCACCTATAAGACAGTACACAAACAAATAAGTAGAAAAGAAAAAAATTAGAAAAGGAAAATTTACCTTATATTTGAAGAAGTTACTGTTTGATTAGACATTAAAGTTAATTTCTTAAAGATTATTGGGAAGAAAGCTGTTGTGACATTTACTTTGGGAGATAGGTGAGTAATTGGGATCAATGGGAAATTGATTGGATTGTAATCAGCTTTAAACTGAAAGAAATCTTTTGTTTTTAGATTTCCACCATCCATAGATAGACCTCTTTGGAGCTCCTCCAGCCAATTCAATGGCGTCCTCTACTACCGTGCCTCTAGGATTTCACTATGAAACAAAGTATGTTGTTCTCAGCTACTTGGGACTTCTCTCTCAGGAGAAACAAGAAGGTCTCTCATCCCAAGGTACCGTCTTTGGTGTATGGTGGTTATGTTGGCTTATGATAAGGACTTGATCTGTAGAAGTATTTGCATCAAAGTAATTTATATGTGTAAGATCAAGCAGTTTTAGTTATAGAAAAGAATCACCCCATCCCACCCCACTACTAGTTGCAATTCTTTTAACGGTGTTTGTTTTGATTTTGGTTTGCCTCATTTTAAAGCTTTTATTTATTTACTTCATGAGTGTGCATAGTGGCTGGCATCTTGCCTCCACCTCCTTCAGCAAAACCCGAGTGCGTCACCACAACCAACTCTTCTGATATGAGACAGAAACTCTGAATTTTTCTTTTAACAACATGCTTGGATTTAGAGAAAAATTGAAGGCAGGGTTTAAATGAGTCTACCAGACCCAAGATAAATGATAAATAGGTGTTTATTAGGGAAGCACTTACACTGATAATGGTACACACTTCTTTCAACAAGGCCCTACCTATTCCTACATAGTGCCACTCCCTATGAGGGCCATTTTCTTTCAGACCACCACAGCAAGCATCTTTACCTACAGCCATTTCATCAGACTTTGCTTGTTTGAGACAGGCTCTGGCCATGTAGTCCTGCCTGTTCTGAAACTTGTTATGTAGACCAGGCTACTCTTTAATTTGGGTCAGTCCTTCTGTTCTGTCTCCCAAGTGCTGGGAATGTAAACATGTGCCACAACATCTGGTCTGGCTTCTTTCTTTCCTTTCTTTTCTTTTAAGGATTTATATATGAGTGCTTTGCTTGCGTGCATGCATGTGTACCATATGCATGCCTGGTGGATGCCAGAAGAGGGCAGTGGATCCCCTGGAACTAGAGTTATGAATGATTGTGAACTGCCATGTGGATGCTGGAAATTGAACCCAGATCCTGCACAACAGCAGCAAGTGCTTTTACCATGTGTGGGCATGTGCATGTATGTAAACACATGTGGAGGTCAGGGGACAATATTTTTTTATTTTTATTTTTATTTTTTTTGGGTTTTCGAGACAGGGTTTCTCTGTATTGTTTTGGAGGCTGTCCTGGAACTCGCTCTGTAGACCAGGCTGGCCTCGAACTCACAGAGATCCACCTGCCTCTGCCTCCCAAGTGCTGGGATTAAAGGTGTGCGCCACCAACGCCCGGCAGGGGACAATATTTTTTGCAGTTGATTTTCTCCACCTTTTTTGTAAGAGGGTCTCAATTTGTATACTTGCAGAACTGGAATTCAATATGTAGATCATGCTGGTCTTGAACTTGCAGACATACATTTGCCTGTGCCTCTTGAAAACTGGGATTCAATGTGTTTGTAACCAAATGCCTAGTCCTGTTTTTTTTTTAATTGTTGTTGTAAAGGTCTTAACATAGTAGCACATACCTATCATCCCACTCGGGAGGTGGGAACAGGAGGACCAGGAATTCAAGTCCAGTTTTATCTTATCTACATAGAGAATTCAAAGCCAGTCAGCTACAGGAGATCCTGTCAACGAGACACTTGAGAAATGGCTCAGTAGGTGAAAGGTGCTTGCCCAAAAACCTGATGGTCCGAGTTCTGTCCTTGGAACCCTCAGGTAGAAGGAAAACCAGTGTCCTCTAAACTCCAGACATGTAATATGCTGTGCTTATACACGAATACATTAAGTTTAAAAAAAAAGACAACTTTTAATTGACTATTGAATATTAAATTTATATAAAAATACTCAGATATCTGGTAGAGCCTTATTTTTAGTATAATTCTTTGTAGTATAAGGTATGTGCCCATCTTTATTTATTACATTTATTTATGGGGTGTGTGTGTGTGTGTGTGTGTGTGTGTGTGTGTGTGTGTGTGTGTGTGTGTCTGAGAGAGAGAGAGAGAGACAGAGAGAGAGAGAGAGGACAGCTTTATGGGAGTTGGTTCTCTCCTTCCATGGATACTCGGGATGGACTCAGGTGGTTTTCATGGGACTAGGTTAGTTATTGTGAGAGTGGGTTTGTTAGTAATGTTATTTTGGGGCTAGCAAGATGGCTCAGAGGATAGAGATGCTTGTAGTGCAAGTCTGGTCACCTGAGAACTGACCTCTGAAAAAGTACACTTCTGCATGTGAGCTGAGGTATACACACACACACACACACACACACACACAAGACACAGACACAGACACAGACAGATCTCTGTGAGTTTGAGGCCAGCCTGGTCTACAGAGTGAGTTCCAGCACAGCCTCCAAAGCCACAGAGAAACCCTGTCTCAAAAAGCAAAAAAAAAAAAAAAAGCAAAAAGAAAGAAAGAAAGAAAAGAAAATATCAAAAGAAACTCAAAAACCTGTCTTGTCTTGCTCTTGTCCCTGCCCCCCCACTCCTTGTTTTTCTTTTCTTTTCTTTTCTTTTTTTTTTTTGAGACAAGGTCTGTCTATGTAGCCCTGGCTGGCTTGGAACAGGGTGGTTTCGAATGCACAGACCCATCTGCCTCCCGTCTTCCCCCTTTCTTTTCAAGACAGGTTTCTCTGTGTAGCTCTGGTTGCTCTGTAGACTAGGCTGGCCTCGAACTCACAGAGAACCACCTGCCTCTGCCCCCTATGTCACCACTGCCCAGCTGCCTGTCTCTTGAACGCTGGGATTAAAGGCCTAGGCCAACATTTCCTCTTGGTACTTTCCTCAGTCCTTCTGGAGGGATGCAGCTGTGGTGGACTGCTGGAACTTCGGAGTTTACCGCTTCTACATTCTGAATGACACGAGGCGGTCAGAAATGCTCAGGGTTACAAGCCGTAGATTTGCTTTCTTGTGCCTTTGCCTCCACTTCCTGAGATCGTGCATGTCACCACATATGGCTGTGTTCTCACTTCCATTGGAATCAAAATGGCGCTTTATTCCTCTTCAGATTTTTCTCTTTGACTTTTGTGTCACTTACAGGTGTACTAACTAATATCCAGGTACTCAGGGATTTTCTTTTCATTAGTCTTTTAATTACTGATTCCTAGTTTAATCCTATTGTGGTCTGATTAAATACATCATGATTTAATTAACATCATTAATCATTCTTGCTTGGCTCCAAACTGAACCACTTTGAAGCTTACTTTCTTTGTCTTGTTTTCATTTTTTTCTTTTCTGTTTTCTTTTTTTGTTGTTGTATTTGTTTTTTTTTTTTCAAGATGAGGTTTGGAGCCTGTCCTGATACTGACTCTGTAGATCACTCTGGCCTTGAACTCACAGAGATCCTCCTGCCTCTGCCTCCCAAGTGCTGGGATTAAAGGTGCACCATCACTGCCTGGCCTGTTTTCTTTATTTTGGTTTTTTGAGACAGGGTTTCTCTATATTTTTTCTTTTTGAAGAAATACTGCTGAGTCTGGCGGTGGTGGCGCACGCTTTTATTCTCAGTGCTCGGGAGGCAGAGGCAGGTGGATCTCTGTGAGTTGGAAGCCAGCCTAGTCTACAGATTGAGTTCCAGGACAGCCAAAGCTATACAGAGAAACGCTGTCTCAGAAATAAAAAAAAAAGAAATACTACTGATAGTGAATGTTCCATTTTAATATTCTAATTTTTCTGATCATTGATTCTGTGTAAATTGGGAGTATTTATTATAGTCTGGTGATATTTATGATTTTTCTATTATTTCAGGATAGTAAACACTATACTTTGTTGCCTTCTGATAACAAAAAATTACACTATTGTTCCATAAAGCCATAATATTCAAACTCCTTTTCTTCCTCTCCTCTTGTTTGACACATTGATATTTACAGGTGAAATAAAGGGAAAGTTGTGGTATATTAGCTGGCGTGTATTAGCTGGCATCGTGGTGGGTGGTGTGTAGCTACAGCTGTGTCACTGCAGCTTGTGATGAGCAGCAGTGTGAAGCCAGGAAACACAGGAAGTCTGGGTTGCAGCTGTCATCCCTGCTGGCCTGAAATAGCCCTGGGCTGCACATGTATGAGTGTGGCTGTGTTCCAGTTCAGTTTTACTTTGGGCCTTGAATTTCCTGTTCATTTGTTTGTTTTTTCCTTCTTTCCTTTCTTTTTGATAGTACTGAGACTAAACCAATAATGTTAGGAACAAAAAAAATGCTGAAATGATAACTGTGTCCCCTTTATCACCTGTCTAATAAAAACAAGTCAGGAGTGTTGGCCAGGACCTCATCATTTTGTAAAGCTCTATTAACTTCTTTTTCTAGACTCTTGCTATTCCCACCTTCATAGCTGATTTTGTATACATGCCCCAATTTTTTGTTTTTAAAATTTAACCCCTCACACGGGGGTGGGGTGGTGGTAGCGTAAATTTTTAATCCCAGCTGTGGGGATCAAGTGGAGGACTTTGCTACACTAGCTAATTACTCTACCACTGAGCTTCATCATCTCGCCTTAGGAAGCTGTATTTTGGGAGGCAAGGAGTGGAGCTGGAGCCAGTCTTACTGGGTAGCCCAGTTGGCCTCAAGCGTGTGATCCCTCTGCCCCAGACTTCTGTGTGCCTGATTACAGGTTTGTATTATCAAGTAGGGTTTAGGGTAGCCTTCCTAAAGGAAAGCACTAGTTTTTTTATTGCTATCTTGTTACCTTGTTTGTTCTCTGAAATATGATGTGGAACTATCACTGTCTATGGATAGAATTTATTATAGCACTGATGAGAGTTTGGTTTCAAGTTTGTGGAACAATAAATGTGAGAAGTGGCTAAGTAAAGTCATTCTGTTCATGACTTAGGATTTTCTGTCACATTATATATTTTTCATTATTTCCTAAATGAGTCATATTCTGGGTGCAGACTTTTCCGTGAACGGTTAATTCTTACTTTTTCTGAACTAGTTAAGTCTTCTGTACTGTGCCAGTTTTTTTTTGTATCTCCTTCCTTCCTTCCTTCCTTCCTTCCTTCCTTCCTTCCTTCCTTCCTTCCTTCCTTTCTTCTTTCTCTTCTGTGTTTTTTCCCCTTCGACATAGGGTTTCATGTAGCTTGGCTGCTTCTGATCAAGGCTGGGATTACCATTGCCAGTTACCATACTTGGTTAAAATCCTTCTGGCTTGCATATTTTATGCCAAGTGATAGT